TACGTGTGTGTCTCGCTTTGTTTCTTTATTCATCTATCTGTCAGTGTCTACTTCAGCATCTTTGTATATCTTTCAAACGTCAGCATCTGTATCTGTCTGGCCGTCTGTGTGTTATGTGCATCTCTCTATATTAGTCTTTGAAATTTAGTGTTGAATTAAAAAGAAATTAAGAGTGGGAAGTTTTATTGTATCCTACTTAAACTTTCGCATGAAACACATTCTATATGATGCCTGCTTTTTTGCATTTCTAATATTCTGGTTCAGTGATAATGATACCACAATAGAAATAGGACAACTTCTTGCAAAGCGTTGCATGTTTTCATTACCAATATCAACTCATTAGTTGTAGCAATGTTCAGCGTTACTGTTACTCCCATATATGGTTGTACTTCTATTGCATATATCAGTGGAATGCAAACAGTTTTTGCTTGATCAAGAGTTGAACTGTTTTTGACCAGGATTTCCCCAAGATAGCTGTAATAGTCGACGAAAATGCGATGTGACCAGGATTTTTCAAAGATAGCAGCTGAAATAGTCGACGAAAATGCGATGAACATCTACAATGTATCATTAGATCCGATGTGTGTTATTCACACAGGTAGTATAGGGTTTCATGGCTGCAAGACAGAGGTAAAGAACAGTCTAATCCACCGGACAGGAACGACTGGTAAAACGGAAAATTAGTGATATCGCCGTTGTTGTGCAGTTGTGAACGAATTCTATGTGTGAACTGGCGAAAACGGAAACTCAATATCATCTCAATTTGGTGGATCTTCCAAGGGTAAAGTTTTTTGTATCCGGACATATCATCACCATGATCACGTCAGTGGTGCTGTTCTCGGTGCCTTCAACGAATCACTCTTGGTACTCGCTTAATTTGTTTCAGATATCGACTAAAATAATTTGCAACGTATTTCGTTTTTTTTTTAAAGATTGGAAAGCTTTAAGCTAAAGAATTTTCCCGACAAAACCATCAACCGCGCCATGTATCGATATACCAGATGGTCAGGGGTTTTTCGTATCCGTCAATATGGATGGCAACAGGGTCCCTTCCTTCGGCGTTTATCACACGCAAAATGTGTTTGACAGTGTCTTGTATGACATGCAAACCACATTGGATATTCAGAATTCGCCACATGACTTAAATCCTAGGTTTGAAAATCCCTCCGTATGCAGTTGCATTACATGTGTAATTGTTCTTGCAACTTGACCTTCAGCCGCGCGTCTTCGTTTCAGCTTCCTGTAGAAGGTCATTTCGCTCATCACATTTCTATGAACTAAGAACAAAAATCCCAAGATTTTCTTTGATGGAAATGCGTGTCACTGAACTGTATCAAAACATCCTCTAGCGCAGGCGTCATTTTACATGAAAATCCTATGCTAATTGTTGTTTTGTATAATGGTAAAACACCTAGCCATGGGATAACTAGTATATATATGTGTGTGTATTTGTATGTTACACATTATATATGGGAATGCTTAGAAACGTACACTTGATATTGCGAAAGTTAGATCAAGCCAAGGCGGCAAACAATCGATTTTAATGTTATCTTGTATTCAATCAAAACAACAACAAAATGATCTAGCTATGGGGTAAAGAGTACATGGGACTATAACACTAATTACTCTTGGTCCAGGTCGTCTTACTGTTAGAGGAAACCGGAATACTCAGGGGAAACTCACATGGTCAAGTTGTCACCCCCAGACCTATTCACGTCCAAGCGGCGAGTCGAACCCCTATCCCTTACGTGAAAAGCGAGTGAAGTATACACTAAGCTACCCGACTACCCATCCAATGTATGACCTTTGACATTAATTTACCAGTTTGTCATACACTTTGTTTGCTAAACTCGTCTGAAAATGATGAAGCGCTCCTCAGAGTTTAAAAAGCTGTTTTGATAGTATACATATAGATACACACAGGTATTTGCATCGGTAGATAATGTTCAGAGATATACCACTAGCTTTCCAAAACCTATTAAACCTATAGATCTGGACCTTGTGCAGCCTTGTGTTGTTGTCCAGACTATCGCGCAAATCCGCAATAAGTTATGTGTGTTTGGTAGGGTTACCTTACCGTAGTGGAACGCGCCTATGCACAAGTAGCTAGAGGCATGAAAATGGCGCTTGGTCCAAGTGTCCCGCGTTATTTGTAAATTACATTACTTTCAGCGACAAATTTCATTGGTTCACCAGTCATGTGAAAGGTATGTTGCAAACTGTTCATTCGATTATAGAGCACTTAAGAAACCTAAGCAAAGCCCATGAGCGCTGATACTATAAATATGGCCGCCTTTTTTCCATTATCGCAATTTGACAACTCACGAAATATAAGAAAACGATGGTATGAATAGCTTATTATCACAAAGTATAAAAACTTATGGTATTGAAAGTTTTTTTTTTGTATTTTGGACAATATCAAAAATGAAATATAAGAAATATACAAAGTACCGTTTGGGAAAGACTAATGAGAATCAAGTATGTACACTTCAATAAGTGATATATTCTTCGCTGCTTAGGCTAATGTTACTGTTTATGAATATCATGAATTGTTTATCTTTATGTGATTAATTTTCATAATTCATTTTCAAAACTTTATATAAGTAAACAAAAATTACTGGCGATTTCCTAGTCCGCCTTCTTCTTTTATGCTCGACCGTTTCCGCCATGTTTTAATCGGTTAGGTACCTCTGTCTAATGATTATAAGCACTTAAACTCAGTTGATCTTTGTTTACCAATTGCTTGCAAATGATTGTAACCTCTTCAGAGTTTGCAACGCATGCCCTCCATACCCCATTCCAGGAATTGGATTCCAACATACTATGTGCTGGCTTAAAATAACGCCTGACAGGTCTAAGACGCGGTAACAGACTTGGCAATTGGCATTTTATAAGTCTCATTTCCTTTGCTCTAGGTTTCCACCTCTTTGGTCTTCTTGAGGCCCTTGCCCCCGTCCAAAATTAAACTCAGCTGTAACGCCGTCACGGCACTGTTATGATATATTATACAGTGCTAAATACCTTTAACACAGTTTGATAGTATTTGATATATTAGAACTATCGTAGTAATTGGGGGATCATAAGATAATGTGTCCGTTCATCCCTTTTGGTCGCAGTACCATTGAAGACGATGTATTATCAGAAGTACACAATGTTCACCTGTTCCCAATTTCAAATTTACCTCGATTATTTATCGTGTGATTGTGAAGTTCCTCTTACTGTCAGCAAGAGGATAGGCTTTGTTTAGAATGTTTTCGATTTGAGCTGTTTTACTCTTTTGTTCTCTAAATGTCCAAAAAGGAAAATAGATACATGTGCCGAAGAGGAGACGTGTCAACATCACACAATCCGAAAGAATTTTTACCCTTATTATGAAGACTCCGAAGCAGCTAATGATATACATGCATAGTCCTTGGTCAACGACAAAATAAAGTTAATTAGTTATATTTCGAAAGGAAAACATTACAAAAACACCAATTTAAATTAAACACAATAAATTGAAATATGACGGGAACAGGCAAAGCAAAGATGTCCGATGTGCCAAATCATTCATTTGGCCAGGCAGAAAGTGACAAGTGTCGTGTAAATATTTGCTGGGTTTTGCGTGGCAAAGCGAACGTTTGTTACAAAATGCTGAAAATTGTCGGAAACAAGCCAAGCTTGATTGAAGAAAGCGAAACAGTGCTCCAAGGCAAAACGTTGCTACGCCTGCTAACCTACTATTTCATCCGGTTCGTGGACAAAGGGAAGAGTCTGACTATGTTTCATCAGGCAATGCAGCTGATCAGTCTTTATTCAGAAGAATTCCAGATGTGAATGTATATACCAACATAGATGTAAAGACTTATCCAGGTAAGTAATGAGAAACAAAACTATATATCATCTTCTTAAAATGTATCTAAATTTCTGACTATTTAAAAAGTACATGTATCGATAATTATACATGGATATGGTGAAAATAATAATTTATTAATTAACGGCAATGTAAAATATGAAGAGATGCGTATCCTTAGATAAATAAATGAAATAGAGATACATGAAATGTTGAATTAGGATGTCTCCATATTTGGGAATATTTAGTTAATACCAGAATTCATACTGGGAAATCCACTGGTACAAATTAAGGAACTGATTTATATAGTGTTTATTAAGAATACTTTATCTAACTGTATTTATATATGTAAATGTAAATGAAAGTCAGTATCAGCTTCCTTATGCTATTTAACGTGTCGATATTAACGTGGATATATATTCGACATCGGTGATTTTGTCGTGATAACTGGGTGACAAAAATGTGTTTCCTTATTACATTCAATATTGTCTATAACACATAATGGTAACTAAGGACAACAATTATAATCATGATACAGCCCATTCTCTATATATGTCTTAGATATCCCGATATATATGTGCCCATTCCATCTAATCTGCGTAAATGTTTTTATCTTGCTAATATGTTTATATTTAGTAAGGATTTGTCTTTATTCAGAAGAATTCCATCATTTCGTTGAAATATCCGTATTTTCCTGTTCTAACTCGAATACTTTTCTGTATGATTCTTTATAATCTTTTTATAGTTACTTTATATTTTAACAATACTTCTAAAAGAAATAAAATACAATATCGTAATTGAAGAGATATGGTTTAACCGAAACTCTGTGTAATATATAATAAATTATATAATACCGACGTTAAACCAACACCTATCTGTCTTGACGAAATAGAGTCTTTTACGTGTATCTTTTATTTTACACTTTTAAAAGTTTTGGGTTTCTAAATGCAAAGTAGCCATACCTTTGAGAACCCACAAAAGGCTGCTCTTGTCGTTTGACAAACATGGACGAAAATAAAGCTGCAAATTAACAATGCTATTTTGTTGACACGCCATTTTGGATGTTTCATGGGTTAAACCGAACGTCTAAACGAGTATATCAACTAAAGCGATGTCACCTATATGTTTCATTCTTCCAAAAGAACAGATGCGATGTCGCAATGTGCTGAACGCTGCGAGCATCAAAATCAACCACAGAAAATATAAAAAAAGAATGGATATAGCACTGTCAAATTTTCATTCAACAGACTTGGAACACCATCTTGACGCCCTCGTTATTGAAGGGGTAGCCTTGAAATCCTTTGAACTCCAATTGTTTCCATTTGCCATCCGCCTCCAGTTTAACACACTCCGGCAAGAATGTCTCTTTGTAGTTATCCAGGTTTTGAACGTAATGCATTCTCGTCACGATACACACAAAACCACCTGGGAAATAAACCACGAGCAGTGACATTGTTGTTACATTGGCATGGCATTGTCTTTCCGTTTTAAATTGTATACTAGCATGTACATCAGAATGCATGACAAATTTGGTACGATATAACCTTTTTACACGTCAATCTGTACACACATTGATCTCAGTAATGTTCCTATCTTCTTACATCAACATGGAATTTCACATTTAAGGAATTAACGTGCCAAAAATAAAAAAGCCTTCCTACTAGTGATACCGAAAACAGTCCCTCGAATCCTTATCAAATTACCTGGTTTAACGACTCTGGCCATTTCCAAGAGTGAATCGGCTAAAGGATCGGCACTACCATGCCATCCACAGATAGTAATGGCATCATACTTGTCTGCAACAAAAACGAATATATTGTAGTTCTAACTATTTTGAGAGTATCTATTATATTGTGTGGAACAGTAGTCTATGTAATAAACCGGAAGCCAACCTTATACTGACCAGAAGGAAATGGTAAGGGTTCCTTGGATAGTCCTTTGTTATACATATTGCGGTATAACCCTTTCTTTCCAGCCAGCTCCAACATTCCTTCAGAGGGTTCCAAGGCGTCCATCACGCGGAATCCTAGCTTCGTCAACTACAAAACAAAAATTAATGTAATGCAATAAGACTAAACATACAATCTACCACAGGCAAAGAAGCTAATTTTTAAGTGTTTAGCCTCAGCTGACCAGTACTCCACCACTAATCAGAGTTTTTGTGTTGTTTTAATCTTATCAGTAACTTGTCAATGTTGTTGGTAATAGTTCACAGATTACCAGTGTTATGGCGGATATCAATGACGTCAGAACCAGGGATCAAACACCCAAAAAGAGATATCCATTATTTATGCTTCTGTTTTTTGACACTTTTCCTCATAATCATGATATGTTATCATAATCATTTCAAAATAAAAATGTTTTAAGTACCGACGTCAGTTTTGATGACTGCCGCAGTGTGATGATCGGCTGCACAGATTTCTCTGCTCATAATTAGATTTTCGCATTAGCTAATGAGTTTTTCTTGTTAGAGGTAGAAAAGGTCAATGAGCGAACCGCTCGTTATGTGAAATGGGGTTCTAAAATAAAAAATAAAAAGTTCCAACAGTGTTCCCGTTCGAATGCTAGTCACGTTAGTCAGGACCTGAGTATAGCAAATTCAAGCGTCACTGTTAAGTCCGGGTATTGATTTCTCATGAAGTTGGTCAAGAAATATGACGAGGTCGATTGAAATGCACCATGCATTCTGGTCATCTGATTCGAAGACTCAAACGTGAGTAGAAATTATCTTAAGATTCATATAATATTCATAAAATTAACCTTAGAAGTTTTCATTTAACTGAGTCTCATGCTTCATAAATCTTACAAAAAATGGAAAGAAATACACGTTAAAGATCCCGTAACTTATTTAAGATTGATAGCCTCCTGAACACAACATGACAGAAACAAAATTAAAAATTTGCTTTTTTGTGACGCCACCATGAAGCTTCGACGTCACAATGGAAATAACAGGAGCAATCAGCCAATCATAGTTTCCCTCTGTCATATTGCATGTGTACACACTGTGCCAATTACATAAAAACAACAAAGTCAATACTGACATGTCGATAGAATCTAAATCAAAATTCAAAATCGATCAAATGACAACAAGGTTATACAACAACTGAACTAACAGGCATGTAATGAGCATCAAACAAATCATTTCCTGTAACACCATTATGACGACTCTACAATCTCCCCAGAATATCCATCATCCAATGCCCTGGAATTTTATTATTAGATCTACATCAGCCAGGAAAACTGTCGTAGTCAAAGAGTTACCTCTTCAGCGACGAATCCGGTTCCGGCGGCGATATCCAATATCTCTTTAGTATCCCTTCCGTCCGGGTACAACTCCCCAATGGCCCCGGCAGTGGTCACATGGGCCGTGTAGCCCTCCTCGACCACATCCTAAAATTAAAAAGAACGTAGAGGACAATACTAAAATAGCATGTAATACCTAAATTGTTGTGAGCCGTTAACTGTGGATCAAGCATCGTATACCCAATCACTGTACAATGATTTACGAGCAAAGCTTTTACTGGGACTCATATATGGTTTAGGACATCATCAATTTTGAAAAACATATCTTCTTTATTGTATTGTTGAAAAATACGCAAACAATAACTGTAAAATATCACCCAATGCAGCAATTGATGCTGAAAGAAATTTTGTATGTTGTGAATCCGTGTCTGTGTAAATTTCATATATATACCTTTGCGTCGACACCATTTATACATGAAAGACACTAAATTGAATTTACACTCTGCAATGTGTAAGGTATACTAAAGCTAGTACTGAATGTTGTTTTCTAGTAACAGCGTATGGTGACATATAGCCATCGTTTTGCGCCGTGGATTCCTTTCAAACGACTTCCTCTCATAACCAAAAGGTCTAAGGTACTAAGGAGTAACAAGGATGGATAAAGGGCTACCAAGTACCAAGTTCAAATAAATGACATTGACTCCCTTTGAAGGTCACAGGGGTGAAATGTGTTAAATTTTCAAACGATTTCTAATAAACTACTAAAGACCAAGGGTACTGATATCAGGCCTGTAGCCTGAGATGAGGGACTACCACGTTTGTTCAAATGGATGACTTTGACCCATTTGAGCCAAATATGTTTACATCTTGAGCAACTAATTCTGCTCAGTCAGCAAAGGCAGAGGGTGTTGACAATGCTCTTGTACATGTGACTTGCTGGTTTAAGAAAATTAGCTTTTGAACTAATAACTGTTTTAGCGCGAAGCGTTATCTGGTCTCTAAATGGGTCTTGTGGTTGACAGAAGTGCGATTACTGTGTAAATAGTAGACTTTATTAACCGTCGTAGCTCGAATGGTGTTGTGGAGAAGTCATGAGTTTATGTTCCGACTGCCTGCAGGACGGAGGATATGTAATCCTGGTTGATATTTAGGTGTTTTAGCGACGAATATAAATGTGCCTGATTTAGGAGAATCCGTGTCAAGCAGATGTTGACCGATTGTTTAACAAATTGCTGTCATGTAGGCTTTTAAGTAGTTGTACTAGGTAATGGTGCTGGGTTGGCATAGTTCCAATAGTTGCTCCGTAGCCAAACCTGGTTATTGAGTCCAGGAGATTGTTGATGCATGTCTTGTTGAGGGTAGTGCCGATGATTCCTCCTTCTGCACACCATGATTCACATCATTGTTAGATTTCCCATATTTTTTCATCTGTTACATATAGTTTGATATCCTGGAGATTATGGGTATCCGTATCGAAGGCAGCTTTTGCGCTAATAAATGCAGCTTGCGACCCAACTGGGCTACGGGTAATGTATTCATTACGGCTCTCGCGCAGACTGAGAGCAGCAAGTAGCGGAGTTACCTTTTGAGTGAAGGTTCGTTGTAATGGATTTTGCAATGGGTCAAATGCAGTTTTCAGTCTTACGCTTTAGAGACATTCAAGGATTTTTCCTATAACCGAAAGTATGGCGATGCTTCTATAGGTCTTTGAATCGTTTCTGGAACCTATCTCTCTGAAGATCGGTATGAGTTGGCCTACCCTAAGACAAATCTGGGATAGATTTTTCAGTCATTTTGCATCATCCCATTAACATTTATTTGGAAAAAAAACTATATTCGATAACGAACAATTATTTAATGCCAAAGAGTGATAATAAAACGAAGTGAGTTTCCTTAACTTTCTCTCTCCAGTCCTGCATTGCATACACAAAATATCACCTGCACCCCTCTCATAAGGCAGAGCCGTATCGACTCTCAGGGTGTCCGAAATGCTTTAGAAGGCGGCTCCTGAGCCTTACGGTGCCTTTTTCTGTCAATGGCGCAGATGGTGTTTCTTGCGTTGTACCATTTGACTCTAGCTTCTATGGTTGGCGGGAAAACGGATTATGTGGGGACTACATAATTTTGACTGAATATCAAAAACATTTAATATCCCTCGAATGTCCTAATAGTCGGACGAATATGGGCCACCGTTTTAAGTCCCATCCGCTGGACTATGGTTAGTATTTAGTGGTTAAATTGGTTCCAGTGCAATTATAAATCACACTTTTGACCCAACCTGAATCCTTTCCAAACCGTCGACTGAATTAATTTACTACTTAACTGATGCTCATTGTTTTAAGTTAATCTTTTCCACTCGGACGGCATACATCTGTTCACCCTTATGAATTTTAATGATTATATATCATTCGTGTGAACGTGCTGATTTAGAAGAAGGGTTATGAAAGGCTAGGGTCAGAGAAGTTATGTTTAAATGAAAAATGTTTATGATAGAATTGGATGACCTTGGAAATATTCAAGTTTAGTAAGAGCAAGTATTACTATACAAAAGGTTGATTATAAAAGGCATGTTCAGGAGGAATGATTATTTGTTCTGAGTGGATATATACTAAGGAGAAAATAATTCATCTGCTCCATCATATATTTTAGTATATAAATTTTGATTTATCCTGAGACAATCCTGAGAAAATATTCAAGAACACTTCAGACCAAATTTGGGCAAAATTCACCCATTCTGAGAGGAGGAGTAGGATTTCAAAGAATTTGCCATTTCCCTTATCGGGCCATGTCCCTCTCGATCTTCTCGCTCCAGGGGGGACGAGACCTACCGTTTATTTCAGAAACGATTCCTCTTCAGCCAATAATGTTACAGACTAAATTTCGGCAAAATCTAATCATCCATACAGGAGGAGCAGGATTTTAAAGAATTAACTATATTTTCCCCATTTCGTTCCCCGGGCCGGGACCTCTCATATTACATAATGATTCCTCCTGACCTAAGAATGCTTGACAGCAAATTTGGGCAATAGCCATTCATTCCTTCAGGAAATATAGGATTTTAAAGAACTTGCAATATTTTCCGTTTTGGGCCCCAATTCTCAGGCCCTTGGGTGCCAGATAACATATTTATACAAACTTGGTTCCTTTTCCACCAAATTTGGTCAAAATCTGTTCAGTCGTTCAGAACTCGTGGTAATTTTAAGTAAAGTTGACAGACGCCGGAGGGACGTCGCCCTATAGCATAAATCCGGGGCAAAATATGAAAAATAGTAAGACCTATATGAAAAACTACAGGGAGAAAAAGATCATGTGCTCTTGAAGAGTAAGCGTTTTCTGCTTCATCCGCCATGTATATCTACGTAAATTAAAGTAAGTAATGTCACGTTCTCAAATGGGAACAAAGTGTACAACAATGGAATCAACAGGCAAACTAACAACGTCTATGGATGGGATGAGAGTGGGTTGGTTGGTTAGAGGTTTTCCGTTTCCTCGATTCTTCCCGTTACCAGGTATCGTCTCACTGACGAACGTCAGTGTTTCCGCGACGTAAGGTGGCAACTTGCGTCCCCCTTACAGAAAGGAAAGATTAGGGCCTACGTAGATTTGGATTTGGTGAGAGTTATTTTGAAGTCCGTCAAACGCCTTAAATATTTCATGGCCTACCACTATTCCTACTTTTAGAGACCGGCGTTGTCACGTCTTCTTTTTTCCGATAAGCCATAAAGGGGGTCTTTAGCGTGCCATTGCGGACAGTCCTCACACGGCAATGAGATGGGACTGAAGAGGGTGTTAGGGTCTTGGTCTTGTGTGGTGTGTTAGTGGTTAGATATATCTGACCTCTGAACTGACTTCAGTACCTAGAGTGGTCCTAGGTACTGAAATCTGCTGTTTCAGCAAGATTGTCTGCCTTATCGTTCCCTGGTATATCTATGTATGAAATCTGCTGTTTCAGCAAGATTGTCTGCCTTATCGTTCCCTGGTATATCTATGTATGAAGTCTGCTGTTTCAGCAAGATTGTCTGCCTTATCGTTCCCTGGTATATCTATGTATGCTTTTGCATTGGTAATCTGGATGTCCTGCATGTATAATTCATCTCATGAATTTAGTATAGAATGAATGACTGAGCCTTGTGCTAGTTTGTATTGACCGTGTATAGGACTGTCTGTTGGGGTGACAGCCTTGCAGTTTTTCACTGCCTATAACACTAACGATCAAACCTATTGTTATTTAATCTCTAGTGTAATTTTTCTGATAACTATGTCACTGATGATGAAATGTCGTTGTCTGATGAGAATAGTCCTACAGTGTTACTTTCCGGGTTCTTACAGTCATTTGTGTACTACTTTCTTTGATTGTGATACTAATGACCACTGGGCTTTACTTTGTATTAGTTTTATGAGTTTCTGTACCGATAGATGGTTCTTTAAGTATCAGTAGAGGTGTAGGGTAAGGACAATTTGTATGGTGTTTTTTGTGCTGTTTTGAAGTTGTCCCTATAATAAATGCTCTTAGCTTGATCGACTATAATGTTAGGTGGAAATTTGAGCTCTAGTGCGTGAGTTGTTAGTCCAAAATTTGAGTATTATTTTTCCTGTTTTAAGATTTAATGAAACTACTAGTTTCTGAGTGCAGACTTCCGGTCGGTGTGTTTTTGATTGCTGTTATTCTATGTGCTTTGTGTTCTATTATATATAAAGTTTAAGGACATTATCCGAGTTACAGATGTGATATCCGCAATCAGTTTTTGGTCTTATAATGCGTTCATTGTTTATCTTTAAAATGTTTGTTTTATTAATGATTAGTCTGATTCCTGAAAAGTAAATCATTGACATCGATTTATCGCGATAGTGATCACGACTAGAAGATCAATATGACGTCTTAACATGATGTCATCATGACTGGCCGTTTTGATATGACAACAATATAGTATGGCAACACAAGTTGATGGCCGTTATATGCACCATACCATCCATGACCTTAATGCATCACCTGTTTTGGTATGTCTCAAAATCGTCACTGGTTTGTTAAAGTACTTCCCTCTCCCCAATCCCACGTGCACTGCATTACACATATAGTAAAACGTCAGCATGCATTGAATCATACCTGGTTATCCAGCGACTTAAGAAATACCAGTCGCTTCCGAGCTATACGGTCAAAGCCGACTGACCCAGTTTCACATCGTTTGTGAAATGTATATGTATGCTAGTAAATACATGTATGCACTGTACTATACATCTATTTTTTATATGTATATGCCTGTTTGTGTATGCTTATCCACAAGACTACACATACAAACAACATGTATGTATTTACCTGTTCATAGTTAGACGCTATGTGAGAATAGCGGTCAATCCTCTCCTTGTCCGAGATGTTGTCTTCAAACACACCGTCTATATTCTTGTAACTTGGCATACCTGTAGTTGAACTGCTACACAAACACAACTGACACCACACGTAACGAGATGGGAGAAAGTCAGATCCGTGGTCGTTTACGGAACGTGCTACTGTATGTGATACCACAGTATAGAATATCACGGTAGAATGAACATCGTATTACAGAACGGTTACTACTTATGGCTTGTTTACATGGCGTCATCCACGCGTAGTCACCTGTGTAGGGGATATTACTGGTACAGTAAAAGCGTGTCATTGCTCCCGTTTTACATAGCTGTACACGTGTGTAATTCAACCTCGCTTTTACTTCAAACTCGCTTTTACATACATGTACATCTCAGAACAACTCGGCGCGTGTGTACATCTTAGCGTGTGTTTTTCAATTCCTTATTACATACGTGTGCATATAAACTCGTGTATCTCTCACTTTTTTTGCGTACCAGTTCTAAATACACGTGTGTCACTCACTTCGTGTGGTGTACCAGTTCTAAATACACGTGTGTCACTCACTTCGTGTGGTGTACCAGTTCTAAATACACGTGTGTCACTCACTTCGTGTGGTGTACCAGTTCTAAATACACGTGTGCCACTCACTTCGTGTGGTGTACCAGTTCTAAATACACGTGTGCCACTCACTTCGTGTGGTGTACCAGTTCTAAATACACGTGTGCCACTCACTTCGTGTGGTGTACCAGTTCTAAATACACGTGTGCCACTCACTTCGTGTGGTGTACCAGTTCTAAATACACGTGTGTCACTCACTTCGTGTGGTGTACCATTTCTAAATACACGTGTGCCACTCACTTCGTGTGGTGTACCAGTTCTAAATACACGTGTGCCACTCACTTCGTGTGGTGTACCAGTTCTAAATACACGTGTGTCACTCACTTCGTGTGGTGTACCAGTTCTAAATACACGTGTGTCACTCACTTCGTGTGGTGTACCAGTTCTAAATACACGTGTGCCACTCACTTCGTGTGGTGTACCAGTTCTAAATACACGTGTGTCACTCACTTCGTGTGGTGTACCAGTTCTAAATACACGTGTGTCACTCACTTCGTGTGGTGTACCAGTTCTAAATACACGTGTGTCACTCACTTCGTGTGGTGTACCATTTCTAAATACACGTGTGCCACTCACTTCGTGTGGTGTACCAGTTCTAAATACACGTGTGCCACTCACTTCGTGTGGTGTACCAGTTCTAAATACACGTGTGTCACTCACTTCGTGTGGTGTACCATTTCTAAATACACGTGTGTCACTCACTTCGTGTGGTGTACCAGTTCTAAATACACGTGTGTCACTCACTTCGTGTGGTGTACCAGTTCTAAATACACGTGTGTCACTCACTTCGTGTGGTGTACCAGTTCTAAATACACGTGTGTCACTCACTTCGTGTGGTGTACCAGTTCTAAATACACGTGTGTCATTCACTTTGTTTGGTGTACCATTTCTAAATACACGTGTGCCACTCACTTCGTGTGGTGTACCAGTTCTAAATACACGTGTGCCACTCACTTCGTGTGGTGTACCAGTTCTAAATACACGTGTGTCACTCACTTCGTGTGGTGTACCAGTTCTAAATACACGTGTGTCATTCACTTTGTTTGGTGTACCACTTCCAAAAACCTAGCTGTAACTTTTTTGTCAGGCCAGTTTTAGAAATTGTATTTTATATCACTCCCCCTAAGATCTAGCTGTACTATTTTTGTCGGCCCAGTTTTATAAATCATATTTTATATTCCCTCTCAATTTTAATTGTAGTGCTTTTGTATCCCTCTCAGTTGTAGCTGTGTTGGTTCTGTATCCTGTCTGTGTTGGTTCTGTATCCTGTCTGTGTTGGTTCTGTATCCTGTCTCAGTTTTAGCTGTGTTGGTTCTGTATCCTGTCTGTGTTGGTTCTGTATCCTGTCACAGTTGTAGCTGTGTTGGTTCTGTATCCTGTCTGTGTTGGTTCTGTATCCTGTCACAGTTGTAGCTGTGTTGGTTCTGTATCCTGTATCAGGTATAGATGTGTTGGTTCTGTATCCTGTCTGTGTTGGTTCTGTATCCTGTCTCAGGTTTAGCTGTGTTGGTTCTGTATCCTGTCTGTGTTGGTTATGTATCCTGTCTCAGGTTTAGCTGTGTTGGTTCTGTATCCTGTCTCAGTTTTAGCTGTGTTGGTTCTGTATCCTGTCTCAGGTTTAGCTGTGTTGGTTCTGTATCCTGTCTGTGTTGGTTATGTATCCTGTCTCAGGTTTAGCTGTGTTGGTTCTGTATCCTGTCTCAGTTTTAGCTGTGTTGGTTCTGTATCCTGTATCAGGTATAGATGTGTTGGTTCTGTATCCTGTCTGTGTTGGTTATGTATCCTGTCTCAGATTAAGCTTTGTTGGTTTTGTATCCTGACTCAGTTTTAGCTGTGTTGGTTTTGTATTCTGTCTTAGTTTTAGCTGTGTTGGTTTTGTATTCTGTCTGTGTTGGCTCTATATCCTGTCCCAGTTTTAGCTGTGTTGTTTATGTATCCTGTCTCAGATTAAGCTGTGTTGGTTTTGTATCATGGCTCAGTTTTAGCTGTGTTGGTTCTGTATCCTGTCTGTGTTGGCTCTGTATCCTGTCTCAGTTTTAGCTGTGTTGTTTATGTATCCTGTCTCAGATTAAGCTGTGTTGGTTTTGTATCATGTCTCAGTTTTAGCTGTGTTGGTTCTGTATCCTGTCTGTGTTGGCTCTGTATCCTGTCTCAGTTTTAGCTATGTTGGTTCTGTATCCTGTCTCAGTTTTAGCTGTGTTGGTTTTGTATCCTGACTCAGTTTTAGCTGTGTTGGTTTTGTATTTTGTCTTTGTTGGCTCTGTATCCTGTCTCAGTTTTAGCTGTGTTGGTCCTGTATCATGTCTCAGGTTTAGCTGTGTTGGTTCTGTATCCTGTCTGTGTTGGCTCTGTATCCTGTCTCAGTTTTAGCTATGTTGGTTCTGTATCCTGTCTCAGTTTTAGCTGTGTTGGTTCTGTATCCTGTCTGAGATTAAGCTGTGTTGGTTCTGTATCCTGTCTCAGGTTTAGCTGTGTTGGTTTTGTATCCTGTCTGTGTTGGTTATGTATCCTGTCTCAGTTTTAGCTGTGTTGGTTCTGTATCCTGTCTGTGTTGGCTCTGTATCCTGTCCCAGTTTTAGCTGTGTTGTTTATGTATCCTGTCTCAGATTAAGCTGTGTTGGTTTTGTATCATGGCTCAGTTTTAGCTGTGTTGGTTCTGTATTCTGTCTGTGTTAGCTCTGTATCCTGTCTCAGTTTTAGCTATGTTGGTTCTGTATCCTGTCTCAGTTTTAGCTGTGTTGGTTTTGTATCCTGACTCAGTTTTAGCTGTGTTGGTTTTGTATTCTGTCTGTGTTGGCTCTGTATCCTGTCTCAGTTTTAGCTGTGTTGGTTCTGTATCCTGTCTGAGATTAAGCTGTGTTGGTTCTGTATCCTGTCTCAGATTAAGCTGTGTTGGTTCTGTATCCTGTCTCAGGTTTAGCTTTGTTGCTTCTGTATCCTGTCTGTGTTGGTTCTGTATCCTGACTCAGTTTTAGCTGTGTTGGTTTTGTATCCTGATTCAGTTTTAGCTGTAGAGTTTTTGTATTCTGTGTCGGTTTTAAGCTGTATGGTCCTGTCCCAGATCTAGCTGTATCGGGTTTGTATCCTATCTCGGTATATGTTGTATCATTTTTGTATTTTCTGTTCTAGTTGTGGAAGTTTTTTTATCCCGTCTCCGTTCTTGTTGAAGTGCATTTGCATTCTCTCTCAGTTCTAGTGGTTTTAGCAGTAACGTTTTTATACCCTGTCTCATTTCTGACTTTAATGTTTTTGTATACCTTCTTTGTTCTAGCTAATTGTAGCTGTGATATTTTCTTTCTGTATCTTTTGGACATGATCAGACAACAAAATGGCTGACAGGCGTCCATCTATGTTTTTCAAATTGAAAGTTTTTTTCGCTATTTCCTGAGAAGTACTGGCTGAATATTTCTACAATTTCATATACAGTTTTTCCTTGGTCCCTAGTTATGCTCGTTTTATTTGAGGATTGATCAGAAAAGCAAAATGGTTGAAAGGGGCCATCATGTATTTTTACAACGAAAAATTTCTTGAGAATTATTGAATGGAACTTTCTCAAATTCCATATAGGCAGCAAACAATGCAACACAAATTACCTGATCAGATATAAAACCCAAAGCCCAACCGAACGTCTTGAATGTGGAACCAACACTTTAGACATGTCAAGAGGACTCGCTAGCTAGCGACAGTTGTAAATGGTCGCCATATTTCAGCCGCGTACTAACTTGTCACAGGTTAAACTCTCTGAACGTTTTGCAGCAAATTTCGTCTGTTAGTGACATGAATAAGGAACATTTTCTATGTGAATATGAAAATAGATTTACACTGAAAATTATTTATCAACATAATTTTAATTATTAAAAAATGACAATATTTTGTACTGCGGAGTTATAATGCCTATTATAAAGTCAGCTTTCTCCTTGTGTGTCAGTTTTTTTTATATTTCATACGTGCAACACGCACTTGAAAGAATATTAAATATTCTCCGTTTTTTAGGTTTTTTTTAGAGGGGTGAGGGGGTGGGGTGAGGGGGATGTCTATTTCTAAAAAGTACTGGATGGATTTTTCGCGCATTTCTTACGTACGTTCCTGTTGGTACATTAGTGTATGCTATAATTGACAGGCGGCCGTCTTGGATTTTAACAACGAAAGTTGGTTGTGTCAATTACTTTAGAAATGCTGAAAGAATCTTCCTCAAATTTAATATGTAGGATTCCCTTGGTCCCTACTTGTGCACTTTTGATTTTGGGACAGATTAGAAAAACATAAATGGCTGTCAGGCAACCATCTAGGCCATAAATATTATCGTCGTTATTTCTTAAAAGAAATTTTTTAATTTCATGTAATTAAGAGTAAAAACAGGGGAAAGATGAGAAAAGATCAAACATCTAAGAAAGAAGAGCAAAGAATCAATAGATCCAACTTTTAAACAACAATTTAAAATCAAAGATGGTGGATGCCAAGATTTCTCTTGGATCTCTCTTACTGGTACCTCTCTGTGGTAATGACAATA